TCCACCCTGCAGTTTGGTGCTCTGACGCCGTTAGAACCAAGACTGGGCAAGAAGCTGATCGAACCACTCACCAACTTAATCCACAGGTGAGCTTGGCCTACCTGGGCCCACGCTGCCTGGGCCACAGCTGCTGGGTCAGGAGGAGCTGTGGGGGCTGCCCCTGGGAGAGTGGGCAGCTGTGGAGGGCACCCACAGGATTCCTCCACAGAAGCTCACAAAGGAAGCAGATGGGCGTCTGCCTCAGTTGTCAGGTGACCATCGTGGGAAGCCAGGGCAGAGGGCCTTGTGCGTTAAATCCCATGTTAGCACAGCAGTGGTGGGAAGGTGCGTGTAAGACGCTCAGTCTGGCGCTGTGTACTATGGTCGCATGGCTGCCTTAAGGGCTCCTACCATAGCTTCCTGATGGTCCAAGAGCTGTGTGGCCGGATCAGGGCTTTTCTGACCTGTCTGAACTTCCAGGGCTGGCCCTGGTGGTCAGGCTGCATGCATGAGTGAAGGAGCTGGACCCTTTGTCCTCATCCACATGGTGCCCTTGGGCATGTGGCCCCTGGGCATTGGGTGTCTCACTCTGCATGGATCCTGGGCCAGTGAGCTCCTATGCAGCCTCACATGCCTGTCTCTCCTTCTCTAGCACCTCTGCCATGTCCCTGCTCTACGAGTGCGTGAACACGGTCATCGCAGGTGAGCGCGCCTCCCGGCCAGTGGTCTCAGGGCTGTGGGGGTGGGCCGAGGCCCTCTGTGTAGCTGTGAGTGTGCACTGCACATCTAGAGAAAGCCCGGCTGCAGCGAAGGTTGTGCTGACGTGGACTTGCTCCCTAGTGCTCCTCTGGCCACATTCACTCTCTTCAAAGAGGCTCTTGGAGGCTGGGCCCTCTCACCCATACATGCTCATGACCTCTACAGACAGCATCACAGCGCCTAAAGCAGGGCAAAGGGGGATACGCACAAAGGTGGGGTTAAGGTGGAGGCAGGGCTGGGTGCCAAGCTGGGAGTTGTGGGTGCTGACAAGGGTGCACTGGGAATGCATAAGATTACACACCAAAAACAGAAGCAGGAAAAGTGAACCACCCAAACCATGGTGGCTCGAACAGGGCCAAACTACCCCTATGGGTTTCCAAAACGTTAACCTTTAGAAGCCTTGTCTTCCTCTCGTGGCACATGTGGTGGTGCCTGAAGCGAAACCACTGTCCCGCCAGAGCTCTTTGGAAGAAATTACAGAAGACCTACAAAGATGGAAGCCCAGCCCGTGTTCATCAACGGGAAGACGTAACGTTGTGAAAATGACAGTCGGCTTCAAAGCAGCATACCGATCGGTGCAAAGCAAGCCCTGTCAGAGTCCCGGTGGCCAAGGGGACTCAGGATAGCCAAACCAGCTTTGACAACAGAGCGGGTGGATCCATAGCTCCCGGTTTCAAACGTTATTACCAAGCTGCAGGAATCACAGCAGTGCAATCCTGGCGTGCGCGTGATCTTAGAGGCCAGTGGAGGAGAGTGGAGTTGACTGGCTCTCCGCATGCAGTCAGACATGTGATTGCCCACCATCTCTTGTTCCGCAGGCTGTCTTCTCACACTGTGTGGGTGGTGCCTTCTCAAGTCCAGCAGCTTCCCCTGATACCAACCACGAGGGATGGGGCTGGGTGCCAAGCTGGGAGTTGTGGGTGCTGACAAGGGTACACAGCACTGCCTTGTCCTCTACCTCTCGCTTCTATTGAGACAGATCACAAGGAATGTGATGGGGTCTCGGCCTCATGCCATATCCATACGTTAAAGTTGAGATGGCTCAAAGACCGAAACATAGCAGATAAAACGGTAACCAGGCACTAGGAAGAAAGCATGAAATAGATCTTTGAGCCCTTGGATTATGTCTTAGGTTCCCAAATTTATTTGGCCTACCTCTCCTTTTTGAGGAGTGGGGATTACTCCCTGGTAGTTTTTAGATTGTGCTATAATCCCATCGTCCAGGATGGAGTGGAGGCATCTGCTCGGCAGCCCCATCCCTCGTGGTTGGTATCAGGGGAAGCTGCTGGACTTGAGAAGGCACTACCCACACAGTGTGAGAAGACAGCCTGCGGAACAAGAGATGGTGGGCAATCACATGTCTGGTCTATAAAGAACTCCCAACAAAAAGCCAGCCTGCTTCGAATATGCTCAACGAACTTGAAAGGCGGCATCTCCAGAGGGTGTGTAGCAGTGGCCAACAAGCATGTGAAGAGATGGTTAGCATTATGCACCGTGGTGGTTACTGGACATGGGGGTCAGTGGGCCCTGACTCTTAGCCATCCACCTACAATGGAAGGAAGCACTGCCTTGTCCTGTACCATCCTCAGGATGGTCGCTATAGTTGGGCCGATGACAGCAGCCGCAGGGCAGTCTATCTTGCTGG